TACTTTCCCTCTCACCGAAGCCCTTCCTCCTCTCTCTGCTTCCTTCTGTGGCCCAGGATGCTCCTGCCTTTCCTCACCCGCTGCTTGCCTCCCATTCTGTTCTGTGTTCTCTCAGTTTGGAGAAGCCCCTATTCTGTGCAAGCCACTCTGCCAATCTCATTCATTATCCCTGCAAGACTATGTTACCCTCCTTTGCTGTCTCTCATTCATTCACTCAACAAACATTTATGAAATGCCCAGCATATACCAAACACATGGGGTCTGGTAAGAAAAAGAAAGGGACAGAAATGCTTCATGTAACTTAGTTTCTAATATAAGGGAACCCAGATAACAAATTAATGAACATAATATAAAGAAATTATACAGTACTTTAGAAAGCGCTAATTGTTTTAGAAAAACTCAGAGCAGGGTTAGGGAGCCAAGAAATGGCAAGGCAGAGGAACATCTATTAAGAGCGGGCAGGATAGGTCTCATTACATAGGTGACATCTGAACAGAGACTTGAGGGAGCTGAGAGATGGATGTGGGTATCTGGGCAAGGTGGGATGGTACCTGGCAGGTTCCTGGAAGGTTTGAAGAATGGGAGGCATCAAGCAGGACAGTGTCAGGAGAGGAGCCTAGGAGGTCACAGAGGGGCTTGCGGGCTATGGTAAGGCCTTTGTTCTTTACTCTGAGTGAGATGGGGGCACCCGAGTGTTCTGGGCAGGACTGGACCATGATCCAGGTTATTTATAGGATCCCTTGGCTGCTGCCTGGTGGAAGGCTAGAGGGAAACAAGAGTGGAGACAGGTAACCTGTTTGAGGTGGTGGAAGTTCAAAGCATTCGATTGTTTGTGGGTATCAGAGCCAAGACTGGAATCTGGATCCAGTATCAGAGCCCTTGCTCTTTGTCCTGCATCAGCCTCCTCGCCCTGGTGACTGAGGCCCCGGGAGGCTGGCCTCTCACCCAGGTTCTGAGGGACAGTAGGAGGGGCTGGGATGTAACCCCTGTCCCTTCCCTCTGCCCCCACCCCCGATGATCTGTCTGAGGCACCAAGTCAGGGAGGTCCCATCTTCCCTGGGAAACTGCCCCAGGCCCGCATGGAGATGTGGGAGGTGTGAGGCCCCAGAAGCCCAACTTGGGCACCAGGGGAGCCTGGGCATGCCGGGGCCTTGGCTGTGGTGGCGGGTTGCTAGGCAACTCTGAGAGGGAACCCTGGTTACTGCTACCTGGCAGAGACGTCTCCCTGCCCTCCCTCCCTCACCTCCTCCGTGGCCTCTGGCCTCCCAGGAGGCCTTGTGGGTGAGACGTGATCAGTGCTTGCCACAGGATCTTGGCCAGGAGCTCTGACGGGTACCAGGTGGCTGGGCCCTGAGGAGCTGAGCTGCAGGGCCTGGCCTGGCCTCCTGGGGCACAGCCCTGGTGCACACCTGGTGAAGAGCCCTGCTCAGCAGACCGAGCCTAAGTCCTCACCTAGCTCTGGGCCACCTCCCTGGGTGACCTTGGGCAAAGCATGGCACCGTTCTAAGCTTCAACCCCATCCAGGTGGTCTGCAGAAATTCCTTGCCAAGGGCCATTTTCTGTGAGCGCCAAGGGAGGGCGCTGAGCAGAAAGGGTTCCAGGTTACCACCCCCCACACCCCCCAGCCCCAGTGGCTTGAGTGTGGAAAACTCATGTTTTGTGTTAGATTCCATTTACTAAAAGAGTTCCACTACTTAAAAAAAAAAGTTTGAAACCCCTGGACTGAACAATTCCAAGAACTTTTCGTTGTCAACTGCAAAGGTGCCTAGAGTGCAGTGGCCCATCTCATCAATTTCTTGGGAGGGAAACAGGCCAGAGAGGAAGAGGGACTGGCCCCAGGTCAGGCTTGCTGGAGGACAGGGGGGAGCACTGAGCTGCAGGTCAGGAGGCCTGGGCTCGAATCCTGGCTCTGCCACCAGGTCCTGGGTGACGCAGGGCAAGTCCTTATTTCTCTCTGGGTCCAACCAGCTGTGGTTTCAGGCTGGGGCTCGGGGGTACCTAGCTGGGCAAGGAACAGAGTGGGGAAGGATAGAGACCTTCATAGGCCTGGAACGTGTGTTCTTGACCGTGATCTAAAACATTTTTATTGAATTTCAGAAAATTTGGAAGTCTTGTGGAGTACAAGCCAAGATTCCCTTGAATTCTAAAAAGGAAGTACAAGACTCTTAGGGAATTTTGACCTTTTAACATGCCCCCAGCTTCCCATGCTACCAGCTTCTAGGGTTGATTACATCATGGAAAGTTTGAGAAGAAATGGAGGACTGGTTTCCTAAGATTTTTTGGAAATTCTCTGACTTGTTCTCTCTCCCATGGTGGAATGTGAGGTCCTTTAGACTCAGAGTGAGTCTAACTTGAAATCAGTGCCTGGCTCTGCCACTTAAACTGTGTGATCTTGACAACTTACTTAACCTCTCTGAGCCTCAGTCACCTCACCTTGAGATGGTTGGTGCTTTAGTTGTCAAGTTGTGTCTGACTCTTTGCGACCCCATGGACTGTAGCCCACCAGGCCCCTCTGTCTGTGGGATGCTCCAGGCAGGAATACGGGAGTGGGTTGCCATTTCCCTTCCCTATAACATCTTGAGATAGGGCTCATAATCCCTGAGTTGTATGAACACTGACAGAATGATCATAAAGTACTGAGAATGAGATCAAATACTCCCAGTGCCAGGGCTGACCTGGCAGGTACTCAGGAGGTGCCCTACTTGGTGATATCCTTCCTTCTCCCCCCGCCCTCCAGCGCTCAGAGCCGGGCTGGCAGGTAGTGACAAGGATACAGAGATGAGGCCTGACTGACCTCCAGCTGGAGGGGCTGGGAGGTGGAGCCTCTGGCTAAGCAGTCAGTCCCACAGGGGTTGAGAACTGAGGCCTGAGAGGCCCCGGAACGCAGGTGTGGGGGAGGGGCTGGGGAGCCAGGTGCAGGGGCGGGAGCAGGAAAGGGGGTTTCTACTCCAGGGAGCACCACTCCCTGGGGGTCCGGCTCCCCTCCTCTCAGGGCCCCAGGAGGAGCCGGGCAAGGCAATGCTGGGAGGGGCCTTGGGGCCCCAGCTGTTGTCTCCCAAGACCAGAAAGTGCCAGAGATAAGGAACCTGGGGCCCTGAAGAAGTCAGGTGTGTACCTGGCGCTGGGGGTAAGGGGTGAGTGGGTGCCCTGGGCAGCAGAGAGGATCCCTCCTTTTGGAATCAGGTGGGAAGGAGGTAGGAGGGAGAGCCCTCACAGATCAGAGGTTCTGGGGCTGGGGGGATGATAGCAGGTCCCTATGCTGGGCAGACGTGGAGTGGTACCTGGCATGACCGCCTGTGGGACCGTGGGCAAGTTACATCATGCCTCTGGGTCTCCATTCCCTGGTACAGGAGATGGGGTAATGCCAGCTCCCCAGAGTTGTTTGTGCCCAGTGCAGGTACACTCAGGGCCTGATATTAAGGATTGTAGAGAAGGAGTAAGCCTGTGGAGTGATCTAAGAAGTGAGGTCTTCTAGCCAGAGTGAGGGATATAACCAACATTTATGAACACCTGGTGTGTTCACCAAACTCTTAGCACGAACATTATCTCAGGTAATGATCTAATAGCCTTCCGGGGTGGTTACTGTATGTTGCCCATTTTTTTCAGAGCAGCTCACTGAGGCATGCGCTCCTAGAGATTGAGTCAACAGCCATGGTCACATAGCTAAGTGGCTGAAAAGAGCTAGGCATCCTGCCCAGCCCTTCAGATACCCAAACCCCTGCTATTTCCACAACAGTGCCAGAGCCAGGAAGTCCAGGCCACCAGCAGGGAGGCCCCAGAGGTGGGGCGTGGTAGGCTTTGCAGTAGTTCTAGTCCTCTACGTTCTCTGTGAGGAGCCAGGTCAGTGGAGCTGTGGACTCCCCTGCCTCCCTCTGTCCCCAGGCCAGGCCTGGCAAAAGCAGGCAGTGATATGGAGCCCAACAGAAATTTACAAGAGAATATGTGTAGGTGTGACTAAGGTGAAGCCTGTGGAAGGACCAGAGACAGCAGGAGAGCACTGGGGCCTCAGGCAAGCCACTTCATCTCTCTGAGCCTCAGTCTCCTTGTCTGTAAATGGACATGATGTCACCTGCTTTGTGAGGATTTTGTGCAGTTTCCACCAGGAAGGGGCTTGAGGGCAACGCTACTTTGCATCAGGTGGGTGGGGAGGGAAAGGAACTGGGCTGACCAGAAGGTGGGTACTGAGCAGCTGTGGGGTTTGAGGTCTCCACGGCCGATGGATGTGCTTTGAGGGGCTTACTGGGATCGGAGGCCTCTGTGGAGTTCGCAGAAGCTCTGAAAAGTTAGGAGAAAATCTGGGCCTCTGCCCACCTTGGGGACCCCCAGCCGATTCTGCTTATCCTGGCCAGACCGTCCAAGCAAAGGGTTAACAGTCTTCTCTACCTGCAGTTGCATTTTAAAGACACGAAATTAAAGCAGGTAATTTATTCTCCCCACACACGAAAGAGCAATTAGTTCTAAACAGGGCTTAATCAGTCACCGCGAGATTGATTTCTGGAGCCCTGGGTTTTCGGGCTCCTGGCACCACGCCAGGCTGGGGGTGGGGGGGGCGGACAAATGAGCCGCAGCGGCATGAGCCCTTACATAATCTGTTGGGGGGCCCTAGCAGCCTGGCTAGCCCCTGGCGAAGCTTGGCTGAGTTGGAGACGGGGGATCTTGCTCCCCTGCTGCAGGCGGCTCCTCAAGAGTAGCCTCCCTGGCAGGGCTAGACCCAAAGCTCCGGCCCCACCCTACAGACAGTGCCTGTGACGGCTGGGAGCAGGGAGGGTGGGGCAGGTCTGGGGTGGGGGATGGATATTCTGAGTTTGTCCTACCTGCTACTTACACCTGTTCCCCCTTCTTCCCCGCTCTACCCTTTCATCTTCCCTCTTTCCTCCCCTTCTGCTTTTTGGCGTTTCTTCTCGCCTTCTCCTCCTCTCCTCGATTTTCTCCCCCTCCTCTTCCCGTCACTTACCCCTCACTGCCCACTCCCCCACCCTTGTCCTTGTCTCTGGCCACAGAACTCCATCCGGCACAACCTGTCTCTGCACACCCGGTTCATCCGCGTGCAGAACGAGGGCACAGGCAAGAGCTCCTGGTGGATGCTGAACCCCGAGGGCGGAAAGACGGGCAAGACCCCGCGGCGCAGGGCCGTGTCCATGGACAACGGGGCCAAATTCCTGCGCATTAAGGGCAAGGCCAGCAAGAAGAAGCAGCTGCAGGCACCCGAGCGAAGCCCCGACGACAGCCCCCCGGGCGCGCCAGCCCCAGGGCCCATGCCTGCCGCGGCCAAGTGGGCCACGAGCCCAGCCTCGCACGCCAGCGACGACTACGAGGCGTGGGCCGACTTCCGCGGCGGTGGGAGACCCCTGCTCGGGGAGGCAGCTGAACTGGAAGACGACGAGGCCCTGGAGGCCCTGGCGCCGTCGTCGCCGCTTATGTACCCAAGCCCGGCGAGCGCGCTATCGCCCGCGCTGGGTGCCCGCTGCCCGGGGGAGCTGCCCCGCCTGGCCGAGCTGGGGGGCCCGCTGGGCCTGCACGGTGGAGGTGGAGGCGGCGGCGGCGGCGGCGGCGGCGGCGGCGGCAGCGCAGGGCTGCCTGAGGCGCTGCTGGACGGCTCGCAGGACGCGTACGGGCCGCGGGCCCGCGCCGGGACGCCCGCCTACTTCGGCGGCTGCAAGGGCGGTGCCTACGGCGGGGGCGGGGGTTTCGGGCCGCCGGCGCTGGGCGCTCTGCGCCGCCTGCCCATGCAGACCATCCAAGAGAACAAGCAGGCCAGCTTCGCGCCGGCCGCCGCGCCCTACCGCCCGGGGGCGCTGCCCGCACTGTTGCCGCCGCCGCCACCCGCACCCAGGCCCGGCCCCTTGCTTGGTGCACCCGGGGAGCTGGCGCTGGCGGGCGCTGCCGCCACCTACCCTGGCAAAGGAGTGGCCCCGTACGCGCCGCCGGCGCCCTCGCGCAGTGCCTTAGCCCACCCCATCAGCCTTATGACGCTGCCCGGCGAGGCGGGCGCGACGGGCCTGGCGCCACCGGGACCCGCGGCCGTCTTCGGGGGCCCCCCCGGCGGCCTCCTGCTGGACGCGCTGCCTGGGCCGTACGCGGCCGCCGCCGCCGGGCCGCTGGGTGCCGCGCCCGACCGCTTCCCGGCCGACCTGGACCTAGACATGTTCAGCGGGAGCCTCGAGTGCGACGTCGAGTCCATCATCCTCAACGACTTCATGGACAGCGACGAGATGGACTTCAACTTCGACTCGGCCCTGCCACCGCCGCCGCCCGGCCTGGCCGGGGCCCCGCCCCCCAACCAGAGCTGGGTGCCAGGCTGAGGGCCGCCGGCCGCGCGCCCCAGGTGCCCCGCCCCGCACCCCCCCCCCCGGGGCCTCTGTCTTCCCATCCTGATCCCCGGGTCCCCACTCCCATTCCCGCTCCACGGGGGGGATCCAGGAGGCAGCCCCAACCCAGCTAGGGACAGCCCTCAGAAGCTGACCGCTGAGGGAAGTGGTAGGGAGGCGCTGGAGCACCCCAGTATTCCTGCCCAACCCCCAGAGGCCCGCTCTGCCTGCTCCCAAAGATGGGAAGCCTGGGGGGTGGAAGCTGGGTTCCCCAACGGGTGGGAGTGGGGAGGAATGAGGTGGGACGCGCTGGTCTGGGAAGCCGACTGGAGATGCGACAGGGGGGCGTCTCCGAATCCTCAGTTTCATTGGCAGGGCTCTCGCGTGGCTAATCGCCCACCCAAACTCGGAGCTGATTCCCTATTGACACTTTCCCACTGGTCTTTGCGTCACCCACCCCAAGCCAGGAACCCCTCTCCTGAAAACACACCCACACCTACCTATCGGCTGTTCACCTTGAGCTGTCCTTCAAGTCCTGAACCACCCTCCGACCTCCACCCCCACGGTTCAGCCCCTCCCACCCATCCTGCCTGCCCTAGTTTCTCCCCTCGCAGGTGGAAGTTCCTCTCCCATTCCACCCCTGCCCATCCCCCAGTACTGGTTTCAGCCTCTCCAGCTAGCCTCAGCTCTGGATCCACCCCCCAACCCACCACCCCTTTCTCCGTGCCAGTCCTGGCTCCTCTCTCCCATATTTATAAGTGTCCGGTCGGGGCGGGCTGTGGGCGCGGTGTCCCCGGCGCATATCGTAGGCAGTGTACCGTGGCCGTGCCGTCAGCGTGTGCGTGTGCGTGTGTGCCGTGTCGAGGCCGTGTAGAGTGCATTGTACAGCATATTTTCATGAATAAAATTGTTTTAAATATTTCCCGCGCCTTGGGCTAGTAGGAGAGCGGCGGCGGAGGCAGATAATTGGCAAGGATCGCGGAGGCGGGGGTCCCTGTGCCTGAGCCTATTGTGACTTTGTGTCTGCATCTGTGTCAGCATTCACGGATGCCTGTCTGCTCAACACACGTTGGTTAAGTGCCTACTGAGTTCTGGATGCTGGAGATGTGCCTGTGTGGACTCTGCACCTGTTTCTGTGAACATGTGCCTTGCAGGAAGTTTCTGGTCTAGGGATATTCTGTCCCAAAAAAGCTAGAGTTGGAAGAGAAGGCACAGATATTAACTGAGAGCATGTCTGTGTCAGATCCTGGATTAGGTGTAATTTTTGTTCCCATTGTACAGATGAGAAAACAGGGTCAGAGCAGGAAAATGGCCTGGCAAGGCAGGCTGGGATGGTGGAAAGGAGGCCCTTGAAGGCACACAGACTTCTGTTTGAATTTATCACCTACTGTTTTCCAGTCGTGTGACCTTGGGCAAGTTTTCAACCTCTGTAACCTTGCTTTCCTGGCTGGCATACCTCGTGAGCAGTAAATGAGAAGAGATACATAAAGTGGCAGCACAGATCCTGTGCCCACTCATCCATCCATTGATCCATGGAAGATTTAGTGAGCACCTGCTATGTGCCAGGTCTTATACCAATCACTGGGGCTGCCATAGAGGGCAGCATAGGCACAATCTCTGCTCTGAAGGAACTTAGAGGTTTGAGGGGGACAGAGATGAGTTAATGGGCAATTTTAGATCAGCAATGTAATGAATGGAGGAGAATCGAATGACACAGCTGCACGCATCTTGGGCTTGAGGACTCAGGGAAAGTGCCTGGAGGGGGTGCTGTCTCAGTTGGGCCTTAAAGGGTGAGTTGTCACTGGAAAAGGAAAGAATTCAGACAGAGGGAATGGCTTGATCAGAGATCCAGAGTCAAGAGATCATTTGGGTTCCAGAACAAAAAGCAATTTAGCATAGCCAGAGCTCAGAAATAGAAAGATGACCAAAGATGGGGAGGCAAGTGGACCAGAAGGGGCAACAATGGGAGAGGGCCAGTGGCCAGGCCAGAGGTGCTGGTGGTGACTCACACCAGGAGGGACTGGGGAGGGCAGTGGAGCTGGAGGGGAAAGGATAATTTCACATATATATTTTGGCTCTAGAGTCACTGAGACTTGGCTGTGGGTTGGACATAGGGAATGAGGATTAAATGATGCCTGATTCTGGTTGGGCACTTGGGCAGACAGGGCTCTTCCCCTGAGAACTCTGACGCAGGAAGTGTCCTGGGGAAGACAGTGGGCTCAGCCTCATGGGCTGACTTTTCAGTGCGTCCTAGGGAACCCCTTGAGATTTGGGGGGGATGTTTGGGAACGTATGTACTGTGCAAATGGCATTCCCTGGCATTGGGCAACATGCTGACCCAGTGATGTCCAGCTGGGAAGGTGTGGGCTGGACAGGGAGGTCAGAGAAGCAAGAGCATGGAGGCTGTCATGGAGGTGTTGGGAGTGGCTTGGGGGATGGTGCAGAGTGGGAGGAGCTGGCCACCCAGGTCTGCTCAGATGAACACCTCAGAACACCTTGGCACAGGGAGAGAAATGCACTGGCTGGGTAGGAGCAGCCCAGGGAGAGAAGGGAGACCAGGACACTGTGGGCTCCTAGAGTTTGTGAAAGGGCGTGGTCTTAGAAAGGAATGCCCAATGCACTTACTCTTGGAGCCTCAGTTTCTAGGTCTGGAAGATGGGGCAGTAGCACCTATCTTAGATTTGCTTTCAGGGGCATATGAAATTGGAATTATTCCCTGAGGTCAAACTCCTGGCAAGGGGCAGAACTGCCCAGGCTGTCCTGTGCCCCACCCCCACCCCCCACTGACTGTGGCGGTGGCTGTGAGCAGAGAGTAAAGGAGATCGGAGCCAGCAGAACCTGTACTGGTTCTGGTCTCGGTTCAGGGAGGCAGGACCTCCCTGTGGGGTGTGGTAGGTGTCATCCTTGCTGGGTGGGGACCACAGAGCTCTCTCCAGGGACTGATGCCCGAGCCCCACCCCACACCCAGACTCAGGGACAGCCCAGCTGGGTCTGGGCTCCATATGGGTTGCAAAACTGCCCCCACCCTAGGCTGGTGGAGGGTGGGCGGCTGCTGTGGTGTGCAGGTCTGTGTGTGTCCATGAAGCCCCATATGCATCTGTCGGTGTGGGCCCATGTGTGTGTGTGTGTGTGTAAGTGTGCTGGGAGAGGGGGTGCGCTGAGTGATGGTTGGGGTCTCCCTATCTGAGTGGGCACATGTCTGAGCATTTGTATGTGTGTGGTAGGAATGAGAGTATTTCCATCTCCGAGTGTGCCCACATGTGTGCCCCGGGTGGTAGAGACCATGCCTGTGTGAGTTGTGTGCACTGCCCACCTCTCTCTCTGGGTGTGTCTGCCTGTCTCGGCGGCGCACCCCTCTCTCTGGGTGGATGAGAGCTGGTGTCCCCTGCCAGGAGCGGCTTCTGGGCAGCTCTGCGGTGGGAGGGGAGCGGAGCAGAGGGACACTCCCAGCCCTGGGATGGGCTGGACTCCTGCGCAGGGAGCAGCGGGACCACTTCAGAGGAAGGGTTGAGCTCCTCCTGGCTCAGGCCAGTGGCAATTCCAGACAGCTCTGTCCTGCTGGGCCCCGTGAGGAGAAAGCGGGCAGTACCCCTGTAGCTGGGGGTCTGCAACCGGCCCTTCCCTGCCAGCCTCGGAGCCCAGCAGACGCACCCCCCTCCATGCCCACTCCCTGGGAGGCATCTGACACATGATTTATTCATAAAAAGCCATTATTTGTGCCAAAGAAGAACTGAGCTGCTCGCTTTTTAAGTGCTGATAATGCTCTCAGCCTCCTTGCCTCTCCTCCTCGCCCCTCCTCTCTTCTCTCTCCTCTCTTCTCTCTCACCTCCTTGGGACTTCCCATCCTTTCTGCCCCCTTCCCCTTCTGTTCTCCATCCCTTTCTTGGTCTTCCCACACCTCTCTTCCTCTTCCTCTTCTCATTCCCCTCCTCTTTCCCCACACTCACCTCTTCCCCAACCACCACTCCCCAGTTTGCGGAGGGAGGCAGGGTCACCAGAGCCTCAGAATCAGTGGCTCCCAGATTAGGGAGAGCCTGATCCAGCCTTTGGACCCCAGTGTGACCTGCCTACCCCCTAAGCCCCCACCTCTTCAGGGCCACGGAACGGTTGGGAGGAAGAAGAGCAGGCTGAGAGAGGCTGGGGGCTTTTGGAGGCTGTCAGAATAGCTCCCCATACTAAAGGATATGGCTTTAGCCCCCCATCTTTATTAACACCAGCCCCCCAAATGAACATTCAGTCTAAATAAAAATGGTGTACTGGCTATGCAAATTCAGGTCCAAGTTAAGCTCCCGAGGCCTGCTTTTCCTACCAAATGCCCCATATAGAAATTATGGAGTCACCAGTATTTAGGTGGTGCCAAGGGAGGCTGCCTTCAAGGAGGCACGTGGGGCCTCATCACAGAGCACCTGCAGAGCAGAGGAGGCAGCAGAATAAGTATCACAGATGTGAGTGTGCACCCAGACACACACAAGGTTCTTAGAAGCAGACAGCACAGATCTACACATGTGTGTGCCCTTATGCCCACACAGGCGTGCGTGCATGCACACAAACTCACAGTCACGCACACAACCACACATCTATGCCTACAAATGGAGAGTCATTCCTCCCTTGATCACCTGCAGTGGGGGCTGAAGCTCTTTTCCCATTCAGATGCTTCTTCATTCATTCATTCATTTGCTCCATCAACTTTGCTCTCACAGCCCCTTTGTGCCAACTCTGGTGCTGGGCACCGTGGTGGCAGAAATGGACAGGAGTGAGGCACAAGGGGAGGGGACTGCAGCCTTGGACTGGGGGTTAGGCACCCAGCAGGCAAGGGGTTAAGTCATTTGGCATCCAGAGCTGGAGCCATTAGGCCTCCTAATTATGAAATTATCGAGGTCCTCAGGTGACTGCTAATTTCACACACACTGTTCCTCTCACGGCTAATGAACGCCCGCAGAACCCACGCCTTGTCTTTCCTGCTGAACGGTGACCTGCAGTTAATGAGCTCAGGA